TGTGTAGCCTTTGTGCTACTAAGTGCTCATCCTTCAGTTATTAGGCACAGAGACCTGCAGGGTCAGATAGAAATGAATGTCCAGCCTTGTCCCACTCGCCCCCTGTTGCCTGACACTAAACCATACCCGATGTCTCCCAGAGCATTGACTCATGACTCAGTCCACACTGAGCCTCGCAGGTGCCTCCACAGCTTCCCCGCAGCTGGACTGGTGCGCACAGTAAACGCAAACACATCCTGGAGGGGTGAGAGATGTATGAAGAGATGCAAAGTGTAAAAATCTCATGTTCCCGCGTGGGCTGCTAAATTCTTTATTGCTGTTTAATAAGTCATGGAATATGTCATCCGTGACAGTGCGCTTAATTGGAAACATATTAATACGTTCCAATTACCCGAAGCTCCCGCTGAGACCCGAAAGGGCCCGATCCAAACAAGTTCATCACAGGTAAAATAACTCAGTTTCATTTGCTAAATTAAGAAATGTGCTTCCCCGGAGGGAGGTTGGTGATAAAATCAGCAACAGGAGAGAGGAGGAAAGAAACAAGCTGCAGCAGCTTCGTCTGAAAATGTGGCTGTGAGGAGAAATAAAAGAGCAGCAGAACAAAATGACTGTATCACTGACTGCTTTAATTATAGGCTGCCATATGCTGGCAAATAACAAATATGGAGAAAGACAGTCGCAACATTATCCTTCCATCTCTCAGTCTGGATCTCTCAGCTCCTCCCCCATGCGCGCGCGGCTTCATTTGATCAAATCCTTCAACTTGGACCACTTAGGCTCAGCCGCACTTTTTACAACACTGCATTTGGGCAACGCCACAACTTGCAGCAGTTCCTCTTCCAGAGCCGAGAGCCAGTTTACACCCCGAAAATCAAGGGAGGACAGTCGAGGGGGAAAGGACTTCCAGCACCCACGGCATCCTGCGCACCGCCCGCGATGAACGGGGAGGTCATATTTTGCCCAAAGTGGCACCGCGCGTTTTGGTTTCTGCTTTTCGCGGTGCCCTGCTTCCTTCACGCCGGCGAGGCTGAGATAACTTGCCGCTCGTGCCAGCCTGGAAGTAAGTGGCTCGGACAGGAATTACTGCTGAAATTTCACACGAGCGAGTCCGCAACAGGGTTTAGGGGACAAGTTTTTGGGAACAGTGAGCGGAGATTCGGGGCCGCGAGTGCGGAAACTCCGCGGCTCAGTTGCGCAGCTGGGTCCGCTGAATGCGCTCGAGCTCGGGTGGAATACCCGGAGACGAGCCTCAAACGGAATACGCGAGATCTGCGCGCAAAAGGCGAACTCGGCCAGAGCGAGTTTACGCAGATGAAAGTTTCCAACGTGTCTGCGAGTGGCCAGAAGAAGAACGGCCGTGTCGGAGGTGTGAGGAGGGGCGCCAGGAGGAACAGCCACGGGGACAAAGTCGGATCCTCCCGTTCGGCCCAGAATCAGGACCGGCGAGAGGCCACGGGCACGGCGGCTGGGCGCAGAGTGGCGCGCTCTGAATTGCGCTGGAGCGGAGAGGAGCGGAGAGCCGCCGGTCCGAGGCAGGAGGAGCTAAAACTTAACAGTTCGACGTTCGCTTTGACCGGAGATTCGTCTCACAACCAGGCTATGGTGCACTGGTCCGGGCAGAACAGCAGCGTAAGTGATTCACTGTGTCAGCTTAAAGCGTCACGAAATCACAGCAGAGACAAGTGTGCGCTGAGGCCGGCCGCCATCAGGTGGGCACACCGGCCTCAGGACAACCAACCGAGTCTCCGCTGCTTAAAGTGTGTGTGTGTGTGTGTGTGTGTGTGTGTGAGAGAGAGAGAGAGAGAGAGAGAGTACAGATCCCCACTTCTTAATTAAACTGTCAGGTCCACATAGCGCTTCGGGGTCCTTAGGGACTAAGTATAGCGCTATATCACATATGTAATAATCTACACATTTCATGGTTGAAATGAAGGATCTGAAATTTATAGAACACAAGTCAGGAGTCCTAGCCCATCATTTCCACAGGAATCTTCTAACTCATGGTATTTGAATCTCATATCAGGCCTAAATGAGCACGTGGTTTTGGTCTGGTGGGCAAAGAATGACCCCTTGAAGAAGGTACAGAGACGGGTTGTGGTGGGAGTCCAGGGGCTTTATCTCAGGAACTTCTGCAGTCTGAGCAACTCAACTGATGTCGGGATAAAGCTGTTCGTTTTGAGCATCTGTGGCCAGAGGGCAGGATTTTTAGGTAGTGCAGCAGGTTGTGGGAGAGGTGAAGCAGCTTGAGCCTTCCTCTTTTCTCTACTGCTGACAGGTTTCCTGAGACGCGCCAGTAAAAGGAACTGCAAAGTCGACAGTTGTATTTGCTCGTGGGCCCTTTCTTTTAATGGCAGGACTGAGGAGATTAGGTTTGACGTTGGCGTTGCAGGTCACGGCTGGAGTTCCTCGTGAGGCAGGAGGAAGAAACTGCAAGTGCACCTGTAACAGGCTGCTTAATTATTGCTTCACTTCTCCAAGTTTAATATGAGGATGGAGCATATTTACAGCAAAGCTTCTGTGTCAAGTCTCAAATAAGGTGTCAGATGTTTCAGGGCATCCAGAGTAAAAAGTGTGTTTGTGGTTAAACCCCATTCCAAGTGTCTCAATCAGAATATTGTATTTTTTCCGTCTCCTCTTTGCCTCACATGAGACGACAATTGCAAAAACAAAAATGACATATTTTCATAGCATAGGGCTAGGACACCTCGCAGGTTTTGAGGGTTAGCAGTGGGGCTGAGTTTAGCTGGACAGATTTATTTTGTGTGATAAAAAACAACAACAGATGATTGCATAGAAAAAGTGGAATTCCTTAAATGCAGTTCTTTTAGGATTTGCACTAAAGTGTTGGTATTGGCCTGCTTTTCTTGCATGGGCAAAATATTTACAGATAGTTGTATTAATACCTCAAAGTTTACATACTTTTTATGATGATTATGAACATTTCTCTGTTTTTTAACCGTAACATCGATTTAAAGTGAAATCAGTCACCACAAAAAGAGAGAAACCTCCTCTAGACCAGAAAAAAAGATTATTGATCAAAATGATTTCAGATGTTGATGTCAACTCAGAATTTCACAGCTGCAACTGTAACATTTTTAGTTATTCATGAGAAAGCATTATAATGTCTCTTGATTCCAAAAATATTCCCTTTCACACTAATGTGAGGGAAACCAAAACACTCACATAGTTACTGGATTTTTGATGTTTTTCTGGAATAATGACTGAAGACATATTTTTAAAAAGGTTATTATTTTTTATGACATCCTAATGGAAACATTGGCTTATAATTTCTGCACTGCTTTTGGTGTTGAAACTTTGGGAAGAGACACACTTTGGCTTTTCTTTTGTTGCGTCACCAGGATGAAGAGTGTGTCTTAATTCTGTGGGTGTTCCCACATCGTGGCCGTCGTCCAGGTGATGACGATGTCAAACCTTTGCTTCGGTTCAGCTCTTAGAGCAGGTTCACACTCGTGGAATTTTAAGCCGTTCACTTAACAGCGAGTGAATTAGCGTTCGGGTCCAGCTGATGATGCTGGATCCCCTCACTCAGAGTATCTGGAGTATAAATGTGAATGTGGTGTGAGTCTACTCGGACATTAGCTGGCAGTGGATGTGCCGTGTCGTCCACATTTTATCGGAAGCTGCTTTTTCTGCAGCATTTTTGCTCCCTCTGTAGAGGGAACAAGCAGCGGGTGTAGGAGGAGGAAAAGAGCTCAACACTTTCTCTCGGCTCGAATCTGCTCACGAATCAAAACCTATACAAAGCATGCTTTATCTTAGCGTAAATGCTTTTTTTTAATAATTGCTTGAAACTTTAATTAACATCACGAGATGCGAAGAGAGACTTTGGGAAGCTTAATGAAAAAAAATCACTAGAGCACAGTTCAAATATATTCATCTGCTGTGAGCACTGATATCTCAACAAGGCTGCTTGTTCTTCTTCAGAGTCAAAACATAATTAGCCTCGACTGGAAGGCAATAAAACATTGAAAGTCTTTTCCCCCCTCTCAATTCCAAATCTCCAAGTCCTGCTCCACACTGCACAGCTCGGTGTTACACCCACACCACTTAGGCCTGTCTGTAACCAAACCAATTACAGTCAAACACGTATCACCGGCTCCCATGGCCTGCACTTTGCTTTGGACTGAAATCCCATCCTGTGCCGCGGGTGTTTCTGTGGGCTTGACAAACTAGTGTAGCTCATGACACAAAATGACCGTACAGCGGAGACGAGGGAGGGAAAAATCTCCAGAATGTCAGAAACCGTTTGGATTTTTTCCTCCTATTTTTCATTTCTGCAGCTCTGCTTCCACCAACTTGCGTTCACCCTCAAAAACCAAACAGTCGTTACTATTTAGCAGCCCTATTTGGTTTTGTGACATGAATAGACTTGTGTGACTGTGAAACAATTTGCCCCTATTCTTTCAGCCGATGCAGACGACGAACTCGAGAACATCCTGCATTAAATATGTCGAGTTGTTGCTATAAGCAGGAACAGATGTGCTTGGTCTTTACAATCGGAGCCGCTTTATAAATAAACAGATGAGTCAACGGCATGCCACGGAGCCAAAGTGAAAGGGATACAGATAAGGGCTCTGATGCTCTTAATATTTAACCTTTAAGGCATTTTTGCTCATCCCTCAGATTACTGAAAGCTTGCATGTCAGGCTGGATTGGAGGTTGTAATTATGACTCATGAAACATTGGCCACAGGAGTCACGTTAGCCTCAAACAACAAACAAAGGAAAACACGCTTGCACGCATGCACGGCATCAAAACGAAAGTAATAAAAAGGCAGTCTGGACACGTGTATCCTACGCTACACCCACGATTTGTACTTTTATCATACACTTATGTCCAGCTTCAATAAAAATCCAGGACTCAAGTTTTTTGGTCACATGCCCAAAGTTCTCAGCAGTCCAACTGCTTTAAATCCTCAGTACTGTCACTTTCAACGTTTCATTATCATTACTTCAGCTTCAATTCTCATGAGATTTTTTCATCAAAATCAAAACAGACATCTACCATTAATTTCAGTGAGTAGACTTTAATTTTTTTATGTCCAATTTGGCACACTTTGGAAATATTTCAACAGGTAGTGCCTTACCTTTGGATAAGCCAGCTTATGCCCACTCATGTCAGACCACTGGCTCGTGCCTGTCCGTTCGACAACCTCGGACCGTCCAAACCTCCAACTTCCACCCAAATACCACAGGACGAGCCCCCAAACTGTTACGGATTCAAATATTGGGGATGGATACAAGAGGAAAACCAAAATAACAACACTGGTCCGGCCGGGTTGA